TCCCATACACCCATAAACAACAACAGTTACTACGGAATTCAGGCCCATAAAACACGGGACTCTCAATGACACACGACCGTCCCATACACCCATAAACAACAACAGTTACTACGGAATTAAGGCCCATAAAACACGGGACTCTCATTGACACGCGACCGTCCCATACACCCATAAACAACAACAGTTACTACGGAATTAAGGCCCATAAAACACGGGACTCTCATTGACACGCGACCGTCCCATACACCCATAAACAACAACAGTTACTACGGAATTAAGGCCCATAAAACACGGGACTCTCATTGACACGCGACCGTCCCATACACCCATAAACAACAACAGTTACTACGGAATTAAGGCCCATAAAACACGGGAGTCTCATTGACACACGACCGCCCCATACTCCCATAAACAACAACAGTTACCACGGAATTAGGGCCCATAAAACATGGGACTCTCAATCGTAATGGAGTATTTAAAACCACCTGACCCTCTCAACGTCGTCACCTATCACTTCGGAGTTACTGCGATTCTGATTTACATTGGTAATATTATGTATAATGACACTGAATACTGAAAATATATTTAAAAACAACAAAACAAACAACTGCAATAAAATATTCATATTATATGAATGCATATACATCCCTAATATTAACATTAATGTCATCGTATCCACACTGACATGACATGTTATTTTTCTTATGATTTATATAAATATGCATATACTTAATATATATTTTCAATGGCATCATTTCCAAAATGCTAACATGACATAGACATAATGCTAATACTTCAAGTGCCATTCACTGTTTTATCCACAACAGTAAACACTTGCATTCGTGTTTACCAAATGACCCACTCTTACGTAGGTCATGTAGTACACTAGTTGTTGCTGCAGGTGTTCCTTTATACGTGTAATTAACACATTTAATTGAAACTAATTATTCACAACGTTTTCCCAATGGTGACCTCAATGCTGAAACAGAAACCTTTGTCCACTGTTGTTTTGTTACACATGAGCTCCGCCACTGACATCGACTCATACTTCAAGGCAAAGGAACTCACTCACGCTCTGTGACTTTGTGAAACAAACAGTGTTGTCATGTAAAGGACGCATTTAGATATCATTCAGGACCCATGACATACATGGATGGTCTTCGCCCATGTGCAGTGAAATATAGTATAGCTCAGCACTGAACAATGTAATTTGGGTATGAGGATGTAATAGGTCATAACGGAACCGCTAGCAAACATTGGCACTAAGGTGACATAATCCCCCGCCGCAAATTATCAAATCAAACTTAAAAAGCAATGAAAGTTTTAGATGAAGTTAAATGTCAACAAATACATGACCAGTCAACCTCTCTTGATATCTTGCTCTTTAGTTGTTCAAACACACAAATATTTTCAAGACTGACTTTGACCTTGACATGAATGTCATAGTGTATGAAGCATGAATAAATGGTACTAAAGAAATTGCTTATTGAAAAACATTCAAGGGAAGTCTTGAAAGTCTATGAAGAAAATCCAGTGAATTCAGGTTAACATGCTGAAATCTTCAAATTGTCGCAGTGACCTTGAAATTTATGTGAAGGTCACCAAAATTGACTGGGCTCTGCGCCTTCATTAGATGAAGCTTGGTGTCAAATATGAAAAAATCCAGTGAATGTTTTTTGCGATATCTTGCTGACTATCTTAACATGCAATTTAACATGCTGAAATTTTCAAAGTGTCTTAGTGACCTTGACAATTAAGTGAGGGTCACCATAATCGACTGGGCCCTGTGTCTTCCCTGGATGAAGCATGGCGTCAAATGTGAAGAAAGTCCAGTGAATGGTTCTTGACGTATCTCGCTGACAAGCATAACATGCAGGTTAATATGCTGAAATCTTCAAAGTGTCACCATGACCATGAAAATTAAGAGGTCACCAAAATCGACTGGGCCCTGTGCCTTCCTTAGATAAAGCTTAATGTTGAATATGAAGAACATCCAGTGAACGGTTCGCTGACAAGAGTAAAACATTAAACTCCCCTTGAACGGAGCCTAATACTATATCCCCGCTTCGCGTTAAACGCGCGGCGGGGGATAATTAAGCGGACGATACAACAAAATACAAATATGCTTGGTGTTTACGTGGAGTGTTTTGTTATTATATATGGAATTTCCGGATAGAAAACTGATAAAGACAGTGCCGCTAGTGTGAACAAGCACACCGCGAAACTGAAGCATAGATTCACCTCTATTATTACTGATGTTGTGTCTTTTTCAGTATGTTTGTTTTAATAGGGAAGAACAAGAATAAGTTAATAAGTTACTTACCACTCTGAATTTTGTGCTGAAACATTTGGCCAGTTTGGAATGTGTTCCACTTTCTCCAATGATTGGTTTTCTGGCGTGTGGTGCGTTCTTGATATATTTCCAGTCTTATGGTTCTCCTGGTCTTGGATGATTTTCAAGTAACCCTTACACCCTGTTGCCAACCACAGATGAAGGAGGAATAATCTCTAAAATCGAACTTAGAGTGGCAGGGTTTTGTTGGTTGAGCATCTGGTAAATACTGTTTTCTGACATTTTATTTGAACTGATATAGTGAGTGAGTGAGTTGCGAATTACAGTCACATCGGCAATATTTCAGTCATATCGTGACTAAAACAAATGTAAATTCGCCACAAACCCATATAAATTATAAAAATACCTATCAACAAAAGACAGTAAAACAACTAGATTATCACACTTATGAATATAAAACTAGAATGTAAATTAAAAATAGTTTAACTACAAAAGACATTACAATATAAACAATTTACAGTACATTTGCTTCCTGCATGGACCCTAGCTGGATTTACACAATCCCTTCATAGACAAGCTAGCCATAAATTAAAATAACACAAATTCTACGATTAAAACTCTGGCAATGATAAATCTATATTGAATACTGTGGTCCTACGTACCCTCTCGGGAGTACAATTGTTTTCCGCTAATTTAACCCTATTTGAGGGAACAGCCACTAAATCATAGGTATTTGTTCACTAAACCAGTTATAAAATTAGGTTTAATCAAAATTTGTGAATTAAGTCAATTTTCCTTAAAAAAACAAGAACTAAATAAGGACTTGAACTAAGGAACTGTTCATAAAATATGGCCAGGGGGGGTTATGATGATTTTTATGGAGAAGCATGTACAATGTGAATGCCCCCCCCCTGCCCTAAATTCATGTACAAAGTAAGTGACACCCCTGCATGTCATGTACACAATCAATGACCCTCCTTCCCCTTCGAAAATTTTTTAAGCATAATATGTAAATATTTTTATGTACAAAATTGCTGAACCCCCTAGAAACATGTGTACAAAATTGCTGACCCCCTACCTCCCAAGAACAAAATGGGTAATTATATTGATAAGTCTCCCTTAAAAGCATCATCACCCCCATAGCCATAAATTATGAACGGTCCCTAAAAAGATCCTTTAATGACGAAACTGAGAAATATCGATCCCTTGTAATGGGAACTACTAAGGTATTCTGCAAATATATTCTGTATTGCCAGTGTATTTTTAAGGAATTACAGTTACTCGTGGCTGACTAAAAAATCCAAATCAGTAGTTTAACCAATTTAATTTCGATACAGATTCTTGTACCGGTGTCAGTAAAATATCTGCATTGAAACATAGCACTCACGAAATATAACAAGTTGTTAGCCATAAAGGATGTCAATATTGCACTTCCCAGCTTCTAAAATGCCTCTCAAAGAACAGCCTCTGGAATCTTTCACATACAAAAGACCAAAACGTGGATACTAATCCATTCTTGATACAAGGAGGCATCGGCTGAAAACGTAAGGTCTCAAGATGCGAGTCCATATTATATTATCCAAAGATGGTGTCTAATTTGATTCAAGTTAATTCTGGTAGTGAAATAAAAAAGAAATATCTACCAGAAATTTCCACAGCAAAACTAAATTCCGCCAGAAATTTCTGCAGAAGTGCATTTTCAGAGCCAATTTGTGAACCTATGAACACGTAAGCACACTGGCACATGAATCATCTCTTGGGTTCATCTCCTCGAGATCTTTCCGATGATACATTATATGTCTTTGTAGATTGCTTCCTTATGTGTGTCAACTTAGGATTCGCTGGCCATTCCTAAGTTGCCCCACCCGACCTTTAATCAATTCTTGAAATGAAACCAATCAACTTTTCTCAAGGTGCAAGTAAACAACACACTTATATCAAAACGTTAGAACAATTCGCCAAGCATCAGAGATGTTGTTATAAACTAACCATGCTGTAACACGTACAGATGCACATTGCGAAACACACAGAGAAAGTCAAATGAACTACAATAACCTAAATCCTTTGCAGTTGACGATACGGATTGATTTACTTCCTCTATTTCATCACGATCATATCGGTGTCCACTAATTTTCATAATGAGACATCATCCATAAATAAATGTGCAATCACTACAGTGACTGTAAGCATTTTACGTCGTAGGCAAGAAATATGGTGTCTCCTAAGTGAGGGAAAAGCATGTGACGTTCACCCTGGGGAAACATTGGGGGTGGGGTAGCCTAGTGGTTAAATTGTTCTCTCGTGGGTCGATTCCCCACATGGGTACAATGTATAAAGCCCTTATATGGTGTCCCTGCCGTGATATTGCGTCGTAAAGCTAAACTCACCCACCAAGTCAAAAAAGAGGAAAAATAGCTGACCAGATATTTATGGATTTGTCAAGATCAACTTAAGCTGCGAAAGCAACTGAACACACAGGCATCACATGAGTATTTAGTATGCTTGTCTTCATGTATTATTCAGCCATACAAACTGTACATAAAAGAAACAATACAATCACTCTTTGATGATGCCTCATTTCAATAAATCGATGGTCAGATGGAAGGCTCTCGAGAATTAAATTATATATCAGTTAGAGAGGAGTCAAGTGGAGATCATTATTTGTCTGAATAGTTGTGCGCGATCAGAATCCAGGCACCCGTGAACGATGACAGGTCGTCTTCTACCATGGGCGGTACTGACAACGTTCTTCTCAACAGGTTAGAGTTTTAATCCTTGAAATCATGTTTGATATTGCAATTATGCTCCAATATAAACACAGCTTTTACCATTTCGATCAATTATACAACATTATTAATAACAAAATCCAGAAATTGAAAGAAGTAGGGAAAATATTTTAAATAAGTAGGCATATCCCAAAGAAAAATTAATTAGAAGAGTCAAAACGTTTATTAACGTGAAAGACCTAGCAGTAATTAATACCTTTTCCAAGGTATTGTGCGTTCGCAGGTTTAATAATATGACATTTTTATTTATCAGTGCAAGAAGCATTTTGAAATAAAATGCTGGAACTGCTGCAAACTGATTTCGTTGAATTAAACTCAGTAAAAGCATTTATGACGTTTTTTGTAATTCTATACTGAAAGGCATTGGTTCCTGTAAAAATGCGCGATTCATTTTCATTTACAATCAACGTTTGGAGGGTTGTTTGATCATTAAGTCGGGAATATTTTCTTGTCACTTTTTCTATTTCTTTAATGATTGACAAAAACGCATAATACCTGATGTGACTCTTGTCTGTTGCAAGAATTAATGTTAACGAAGATCGTGTAGCTCCATGCATTTTTGCCATGACACACCTGATATATATATATATATATATATATATATTCTCATAATGATCGCATTGACAGTGTGAAACCGGTTTGAATTGAAGAAATTATATCTGTACCAAGGATTTTCAGACGTTTGTCTTTGTGTGTTTGTGTGTGTGTGTTTGTGTGTGTGTATACATATATATAGTCTCGCAGCAAGAGCGAGGTAAAAAAGAAACATCGCGCTTTATGATATTTCGACATCCTCTTTAACAAATATACATGGGGTGGTACATTTTGCGGGAGAGGTAGCGACGAAGCTGGGTAAGAGACGAGGAAAGGGTGTTGGGGAAGCAACGTGAGGAACACTACGGCACCAGGGTCTCATTGGCTAACCTCTCCGAGTATAGCTTCGACTTAGTTGGCGTGGGACACACCTCCAAAGTCCATCATAAGATAATATAGTAAAAACCTGAACCAGCGTGTCGTCCACCGCTTCAACGATGACAGCGCTGCCCAGAGAGCAATGACCACGCTAAATTTGCCAAGCATGTACCAATCATGTCGAGTATTCCAATTTTTATAAGCATGTATTTCCAATCATGTCGAGTATTCCACATCATTATTATTTATATGAAGAAACATCTATTTCTCTTTCCCTTAATGCCTTTTCTGTGTGACATGACCACTGTTAAAGGACTTGCTTTCTCGGGTGAGGTTGAACATCATTATTATAGACATGTTTCATTATCCATGGCTCAATTTCACAACTACTTCACAGAAAACAAAACAAAAAACCCAATTTGTTTAAACTGCAGGATACATTTGCTGGAAATAGAGACAAAGTGATTGGTAGTTATACCTGACATACATACAAATGAGTAATAATTGAGCACTACATGATTTAAAGGAAATGTTTTGAATATTGTTTCCAATAGACGATCACACGCTAACATTCTGGAATGTACATGACAATCAGGTGCGTCAAACAACAGCACACTGGGGTATAAATTTCATAACTGCAGCATGTGCACCATAGTTTTTTGAACAGACATAAAAATATGTTTTTCTTGACATGGCCAGACGAGGGCCTTCAGAAAATCAGTTTTCGGCATTAATGAATCCCTCATATCCCGTCGCAACATCGACGTTTGGGGAAGTATGATAACGTCGGTGAAGTAAACGATCGTCCGAGACCTGGACGTCCGAGAAACACCAAAGACTATGATGACCGAGTCCTTATGATGTGGCAAGGTGCAATCTCATGACCCATGCCAAAGAACTATGCTGGAAATGGAAAGTGGACACAAAAACAGTACCATCAGACGTGGCCTTTGGCTGCTGGTCCAATCAGACGTCCCTTCCTGACAGGTAGGATCGTCTGGCGTGGACATCCGAGAAAACTGCAACTCGAGAACATAGCGTAGGGTACAGCGATCTATCTTCAACACTTTACCAACGGCCGTATCATAAGGAGATGATCCATGCAGGTGAACACTTTGATGGTGGAGTGACAGTATCAATTTTGCGTTATGTATTTTCAACTCATTACAGTACCTCGCACCACTCACTGTTCAACGTTATCAAAGATATGTACCGACATTTCATGCGACATTTCAGAAGCATCCATGGCCAGCCATAGAGCTGATCATAGAGCATACACAACGGGGTACATTTCTTACAGGTAATAAACAAAAAAACATATGTGCACATTTTCAATTTGTTTTAAATCAACAGATCCCACCATTTCACAACTATACAACAAGATTGGTTTCACCAATAAATCAAAGAAATATATTTGACATTGTATTGATAAGTTTAACATTCGACTTCTCCGTAAAACAAAATACATGGCTTTAGCAGCTTGTTGACAGAGATTTGATATAAATAGTTTGAAAGAATATTTCTATGGAAAATAACTCCCAAGATACTTATACACAACAGTTTTCCTTTGGTTCAACTACCTGGTTGAAATATCCAATTGGGACTTTCCCATTTATATATGGGTGTTGCCCTAACTAATCCGAAGTCCAGTGTCTCACAATTGGGATGTCTAACTGATGGCCTAGTTGGGAGTTTGTAATAAACAAATAAACACATAAATTTGATTTGTCGTTTGATTGCACACAAACAAGCCCCCCTCATCATTCACCCAGCGGGAAATATTGAAGACTCGTATCACCTTAGCTTTTGTCCACAGCAAGTATTCGGACTGTATAACTGGAATACTTTTGCAAAGCGAAGTACACCCAATTACTCCCTCGTTTTATTCCTAAAACAACAGCCCCAAAATGTTGAATTGATTAAGAGTGAGTGAGTAAATTTAGTTTTACGCCGCACTCAGCAATGTTCCAGCTATATGGCAGCGGTCTTTAAATAATCGAGTCTGGACCAGACAATCCAGTGATCAACAGCATGAGCATCGATTTGCACAATTGGGAACCGATGACATGTGCCAACCAAATAAGCGAGCCTGACCACCCGATCCCGTTAGTCATCTCTTACGACAAGTAGGGGTTACGGAAGGCCAATATTCTAACACGGACCTTCACGGGTCGAATGGATTGAGAAAAAAATAAGAAGTGAATTTTAAAATTCCGAGTTAAAGAAAGTACTCGCAGACCATCATGCATGATTGTAGCTAAATACATATTTAAAATAACCAACATTTTATGTCCAATGGATGAAAGCTTCGGCAGATAGAAAGCAATCAAAACAAATGGTGTTATCTCTGTGTGGACACACCTTCACAACAGACGAGAGCAGTTATCCTGCTCCGTGCGCTTCATTCAGCTAACATACCTCAACCATTTGATGTCTCTCCTACATTTATTGTAACCATTGCTTTTGACAGGTAAAACACTGTGGATATACTGTGATGTGCATAAAATCTGTATTTCGAAAAGTCATCTACATGATACAGTAGTGCATGACTGTATGATACAGTTCAGTATTGTATGATACTGGTCAAAGTAATGTACTTCTGCATACACGCTAAGCGTGTACTATGTGTTATTCAGAAAGAAATCATTACTGATTCTGTCATTTCTTTGCAACCCCAATGCATCCACCTCCACTTCTTGTTTTCCACTAATAGCCAATAATATTTAAATTGTACCGTTTAATAAACCTACACTTTCTTGAAAGTGAATTTTCAATCTGTAAAATCTGTATCATCTTTTATTGCAACACTTCAACTCTGAACGTTTTATATACAAAATAGTGTCGTCACTGTGGTAATGTCATTCACACTTCCATTAATTACTAGGACAGCTATTACCATTGATACACAGTTGTATTTTACACCAACCACATTATTATAATCATCATATCACCATGGTAACATAAATGTGTACTTGAAATGTTCTACTACCTATGTTAAACCAGTATTCAGTACTATTACAGGACATAAGCGCGTGTATCTAATTTTCCAATAAACACATTAATGAGAAAGAGAAATATCATAAAGCCCAACATATAACCCTGGCATAAGCCTTGTTGCTCAATTCTTACATGTGTAACATAAATACTTCGATTCACTTCCATAATTTCCACTTTTAAACACAGATCCAAAAAAATATTCCATACTGTTCCTTATCTACCATCTCAATTTCATTTTTTTAAATTGAATAAAAAAGCAACCTTATATAGCATGAATAATGATATGATTATAAAGTGCATTTTGCAGGTGTCGCCCTTGAAAATGTTGCTCTTCACAAGCAAGCGGTACAGCAAGTTCCTAACACGGCAGCCCATGCTGGACTATGCACCGACGGTTACAACGACGGGGTATATTACGACAACTCAGCTTGCTGTATGCTTAGTGGAAGTTGGTGGATAGTTGATCTCGCCAACGTCTACAGCATCTCCTACGTCATCATCTACAGACGGACGGATGGTGGTGAGTAGATGTAAAATACATTTGGCTAAAATCAGTGTTTTTTAGGCTGTATTCCTTTTGAGCTGGGTACAAATTTCAAGCATCCCGCAGAATCAATGGAAACAAACTATGGAGCACTAGGTCACTTTGCAAAACTATTGTTGAGTTTCTGAAATAGGCCCATGTCTGCCCAAAGTGAGTGGTAACAGTGAAGCAGGTCCGTTCATTCCTCTGCTGTGTTGCTACCTTCTGGAAGTGCGGGAATATTGCGTGCATATGTTATTTCGAACCGTGTGCACGAATGTTGGTAATACACATTCGTTGTGGTCCGATCCCTCAAGGCATATGCAGCAATGTACTCATTAAGTGTTGTTGCAAGATATCTTCAGCCATTTTATTTCATCTCCTGGAATCCAGTAATGTACATAACTTATGATGCTTCAGCCTATCCCAACAATGCCGTGGTGGAAGGGTTTCTGCAGTACCCTCCGATGTGCCCAGGAAGTGGCGTGGAGTGTGCCCGTGTTAACCGTGCGCTTCAACCAGCGGAGAATATCAGCTGTTCGACTCCTGTGGAGATGAGGTACCTGAGGGTATCAAGCTTTTCCTCAAGCCCTTCAATATGTGAGGTGGAAGCTTATGGATCCTTTGTTCGTGCAGCCAGCCCAGGTAAGTGCGACAATACGGGATGTACATTGAAGTGCTATCGTGCCTAAAGATGCCAATCGTCTTGAGAAACAATGGTTGTGTATTTGTTTGTTGCCCCATGTCGCATTAAACAGTGCAGTGGCAATCTGTGATTAATGAGTTTTGGCCAGACAATCCATTATTGAATGTCTTTCTAATCTCAAAGCATTACCAGCCTATCCACACAGGCGGTTTACGCTACATGTTATGGTAGCCTGCATTGCAATATAAAACACTGACTTCTTGGAACGTTAATGCATGAATATTGACTCTGGTAAGTAGAGGATTTTCAGACCAACTAATGCTGGCTTCATAGTAACGGCTGTATCGATGTGTTGTCACTTGTCAGACTGCTTCTCAGACAGATAATGAATAATCCCTTAGTCTGGAACTTTACGAATCAACGTTGCTTGTAACGTCTTCGTTGTGGAATGATTCATTAACCCAGTACCTGACTTGGTTGACACATGTCATCGGTCCCAATTGCGCACATCGATGCTCATGCTGTTAATAACTAGATTGTCTGGTCCAGACTCTATTACTGACAGACCGCCGCCTTATAGCTGGAATATTGCTGAGTGTGGCGTAAAAATAAACTCACTCGCTCACTCATTAATCCAACATATGATATTCTGATCTGACACCGAACCGTTTTGTCTGGAATAGCAGGATTTGACTGTATCATTCCAGGTGACTGTCCACGTGTTGAGATGACTCCACAGCTCAACAAGAAGCTGACTGGTGCGGTTTCCACATCAACCATAACAAGTACAAGCGCTGCCTGTGGGATTGAGTGTGTAAAGGGAGGTAACTGTACATCTTTCAGCTACAACAGTGCCAAAGGTGAATGCTTGTATTCCTCAAGATTGCTTATTCAAGCCAACATGGTATCTAATGCAAACTGGGTTCTGTACATACCCTGTTTCTAAGCAGAACAATCTGACTTCAGTTCTCAGATGGTCATTCATATCCTGTCGTTGCTGAAAACTATCTTATGTCTGTGAAAATACGAATCAATAATTTTCTTGCGGCAAAATCAGATGAAGAGTAATGCCTTTGTGATCCTCAGTAACAGTCAACAGATATCAAGGTGACTATAAATGGTTTTCCCCGAATCAGTTATGCCTTTGTGCACGAAAGGTGCAGATTAAGATAGCAGCAGTCCATCAAATTCCCATTTAATGACCTCTTGACGGAACAACTGGCAATTTGAACAAATGTTATGCTTCGTACACCATATAGAGATCGACGCACATAGCCATGCAACTTCTACCAAGTACGAACTGTTTTGATGGTTTGGAAAATTTGTATGCGTAACTTAGTGCAGTGCACATCGACGGACGTTTCCATGCACGTACATGTATACACAGATTCAAACGCACTTACAAATACACACATACGTGTATACATTAATGATTCATGTCTGATGAGAAGGCTGTGAATTGATATACAGCACTTGGTGCATTTACCTATTTTGTTGCACTATAACACCTTCAAAGTGTGTTTGTCTCTAAAACATGAGCATCAAAACCCCTTTCACCAAATATATAGAAGTTCCATCAAGATGAAGAATGAGGACAAGTTTTATGGATACACAACTTCTTTAGTCTGTGTAGGCGACGTTTCGACATAGATTTTCAACGACATTAGAATCTATGTCGAAAGGTCGCCTACACAGAATAAAGACGTTGTCCATCCATAAAAAAGTGTACTCATTCTTCGTCTCCTCAACTGCTAGAATGTCAGTCTAAGAAACCATGAAGATGGGGAAAAAATTCACAAACTTGAAAAAGTTGCTTCTAATTAGTATTGCAGCTGAGCTACATCATAAATAGTGTGTGTTTTGCGTTCACAGCTGATTCAGTGTGTAAAGATTATTTCTTTTCTTAGTCAGTAAATAAAACTGTTATTTTTTGATAATATCGCATTTCATGTGGAGAGAAAATCCTGGCTACCTTTCCTTGTATCTGTATGTGTACCCTTATCGTTATGATATTCTTCGGTGCATTGAGATCATATTTTATTGAATTCGTTACTTCTATCGAATTTCAAATGAAATCTTGTCAAGCATATGCTTTTTATGATTCATCGTATAGTGTGCGTGTGTCACATGAAGGCTTTTACACTTATTCAAAGTCAAATATTTAAATCTAATTTTGCACCATTTTCAATAACTCTTTACCATCTTTACAATCCATCAGTCTAATGGATTCTATCGTGTTTTGTATTTGACTCTAAAACCCCAACTGGGGCGGTGGGGTAGCCTAGTGGTTAAATCGTTGGCTCGTCACACCGAAGAACCGGGTTCGAATCCCAACATGGGTACAATATGTGAAGCCCATTTCTGGTGTCCCCCGCCGTGATGTTGCTGGAATATTGCTAAAAGCGGCGTAAAACCAAACTGAGTCAGTCAGTCAGTCAGTCAAACCCCAACTCCAAGTGAAACACTGGTGGTTTGCTGATAATCGTTTTAACACACATTTTTGTTTCAATATTTTGTACATTATGTGTTGGTAATGTGTGCATAATTATTTAGGATTCCATTGTATTGTTACTTCCATTTTGTAGACTCTCGGGGCGGTGGGGTAGCCTAGTGGTTAAAGCGTTGGCTCGTCACGCCGAAGAACCGGGTTCGAATCCCAACATGGGTACAATATGTGAAGCCCATTTCTGGTGTCCCCCGCCGTGATATTGCTGGAATGTAGCTAAAAGCGGCGTAAAACCAAACTCTCTCACTCTCTCTCTCAATATCACTAAGACACCGTATCTGTTTTTGTCTATATAAATGCACTGTCAATACTAATGGCGTAATTATCATTACAAAGTTTAAAGTGTAACACCGTTCGTTGTTGAAATGTGTCATTTATCTGGGGGCATATATTATCAGGATTTAGAAATGTTATTATTGTAAACTCAGGAGAAGAGCATTGTCTGTACGACCTGTCATAACAACACAATGTATTTGAATAAATGCATGACATAACAACATGTCACAACATAAAGACCATATGGAAACGTTCAGTATGCTCCACACATTGGTGTGACTCTCACCGCAAGCAGCATGAGGACGCCGACTGATTTATATCCCCTGATACCATATATTTTACTTCACGTTTGTACACTAATCTTGAGTTTAAATAAAATATCTCTTCAAACAGTTTGTTTCGGTGTGACATTGTACAGCTCCCTTCTTCACGGATATCGTTCACCCAATGCTACGATTTGGTTTGGTTGTGCTTGACGCCGTACCCAGCAATATCCCAGCTATATGGCGGGATTGTAGGAAAAATAGAATCTGGAAAAAAAGAATCAGGGAAAAAAGAAACGAAAAAAAGAAACAGGAAAAAATGAACCAGCTTATAAAAACACAACAGCAGAGTGGAAGAGATATTGTTAAGGGATTAACTGGCCTCCAATCATGTATAATTGGTATATGGTTACATTAGTTTTGACAGTGGTACCAATAGATCTATATAAGAGTAAAGCATGTCAGTTTGAGGTAAGACATTATGGAGGTGATAGAGAGCAACAAGGGTTGCAAGAAGCTTTGCTGGAAACTGTACCAGAAAGAACAAGGTCTGGTGGAAGTGCTCAAAGAAGTCTAGTCTTAACTGCTGTGCATCATTGTACACCACTCTGGACATGGACAATCCAACTCTCCAGAAAGATCACAACCATGCACCTGAAAATAATCGAGTCTGGACCAGACAACCCAGTGATCAACATCTAGTCTCTCGTACAGACCCTGAAGCAAATATATCCAAGAAAGCCCACGCAAGTCTAGAAAATGTGGCAAGTCTAGATTTCCTCAGCTTCTGAAAATGAAGAAAGTCTCAGGGCTCCTTTTCATTATATACTATGAACATTTTTCAGTAAAATATGTTCATTTCAGAGACTAGTTGTTAGTCTAATCAACATCATGAGCATCGATCTGTGCGACTGGGATAGGATAACATGTGTCAGCGATCCTGACCACCCGATCCCGTTAGTCGCCTCGTACGGCAAGCATGAAGACTTCACTGATCTCCATGGGTCCCTATACACAAATAAAAAACATTAAACCATATAATATATGATTAAAGAAACTAACGAAAGACATAAATGCCGATTATTTTGTTGGACATTGTCGGTGGCCTGTTGTAACAGCTGCTGTAAATAATGTAGATTTCAGGCCATTGTAAGTGGTTATGCTCTCCTTAACCAGGGATCCCTGTCTGCTCTTGTGTTCTCAGCCTGAAACACAATACGACGTCCATGACGGCGAGTGAAAGGCGCCACGTGTGTGTCCAGGATGTTGCCCAGTAGCACTGCCCTGTGACACGTCCTTGAATATAATGTAAAGGTGTTCTGTCTGTCGGAGTGATCCCACCCCACTGAGCTTGTGGTGTGAGTATAGTGACGTCCGTTTATCGTAGAATGACAAACACTCTGAGCTCCATCTATAACAACTTTCAGTCTGGTGTTTTGTACTTTTAACGTACATCAACACACTGAAACGTTTCACTGTAAATTTCGAATTTTACTCCCAACATGTTTCCGTGAATATCATGAAAAACGTTTTCATAACACATTGTGAATGAAACAAATAATTTTCCGGAAACATTATTATCATACAACTTGGTTCCAAAATAACATCATCCAAAATGCACATCATGTGAAACAAAGAAAGTTTAAATTTCAGAGAAAGTTCAAGACATAGAAACGAAATGAGATACCATACACGAGACTTCGTTTCTAATGGTTTGAGCCTCATACCCAGGATCAACACAGCAAAGAAAGAACTCGTGTACAATACATATTCACTGAAATACTTCCTACGGAACATCAGGAATTATCTGATACAATATCCTGTTCAATGTACTCTAAATACCGTACATTTAGAATGGGTCTTTTTTCAATGTACCTGTTACAATTAATAGTTAAGTTCTGGTGAACTGGATGTTTTTTGTTCAGTCCCCTGCTTTGCCATTTAACTTAAGTGGACTGCATATATTTAAATGCTATTATATTCTCCAGATAGGATGACCGATATTACAGTTTTACACATGTACAGAGATTGCAGTGAATACTTCCAAGATTGAAATTCAGTGAACGGTATGCTTGTTTGTTTGCAAATGTTTCAGTGCCGTTAAGTGTGACTTTAAGTCGGTGGGCGGTATGGCTTATAACGTTTTTAATACATTGTACAACAACTTAGTGCAACCTATCCTGTCCTACGGTGCAGCACTTTGTGGAACTAAGGATTTTAGTTGTATAAGCGCAGTACAGAACCGTGCTTTTAGATTTTTTATTGGCGTAAATACAAAAAACTCCTAATTTGGCAGTAAGGGGTGATATGGGATGGACCAGTACTTTGTCAAAAATAGAACAGAAGTATTACGATTTTGGGATAAGCTGCACCGTATAACACCCGATAGATTGCCTTCTGTTATTAGCTGCTGGTCACGGCATTTCACCAAATCACTGGATAACATAGTGTCATCTTTATTACAATCGTTGCATCTCCCGGTGCGAGATCTGCTACACATGTCTAGTAGTGAAATGACTTTGTCATTTCAACATATACAGTTGTTAGATCATAAGGAATGGTTCCAGGAACTGTGGAATGACCAGGGTAATCCTAACGGTAACAATTTACCCACATATAGACAGCTTAAGTACACTGTTACTCCAGAACCATACATAACTTCTATGCTGCCCAGATTGCACCGTAGCATTCTAAGTAAACCACACTGTACACTTCCATTAGAACTAGAACGTGGTAGATTCTTTCGTCCTAAGACGCCACTGGTAGACAGGCTTTGTCGTCACTGTAGTGATCAGGCTGTCGAAGACGAAGTCCATTTCTTAGTTGACTGTCCCTATTACTCTGATCTTGGGTATGATTTGTTTCAACAAGTTAGTATTCTACACCCAAACTTTGCTCAGTTATAAAACACTGAACAAGCTGCATTCCTCTTACAAACAGAAAATATTGTTAATCCACTCCCGCTACAGTTAGCCGTATGTATCGGCGTAAGATATCATCCCAATATTATTTTTTTAGGTCTTTCATATGTGTGATAATCCTTTTATGTTTTAAGCTTACATTTTATACATTTTATGCACATAATGTCTAGCGTGTCTCATTGGCCATCTGGCCTGGTGTTTGTATATTTTATGTTTTTACCTCTGCCTTTTTAACTGTAATCCATAGCATGTACATGTAGATTCATAAAAAAATGTTCATATAAAATATCCACATTCACATGTCTCAGAACTATGGGGATATCGTTTAATATTAACTGTCGGCTGAACTATAAAGGAGAGGGAACAGCATGAACGAAATACCTTTTGTTAGGACAACATACCATATCAAGATACGGTTAATGAGTGAGTGAGGTAATATTGATCATTTCTTTCAGCAGAATTTCTGCCTAATTGTGAATACGTGTTCGACACGAATGTGAAATACGCTGAGACTATATGTATATCTTTAAAAAAAGGACAGCAAATTACTCAACTATGACCGATGCAAAAACTATGACCGATGAAAAAAATGCAAAGTTATACTTGATCTTCCTCTTCATAACCTTTGTCAACCGCAACTGTATTTATTGGGTACTGCTTAAATTATCCCCAAACAGCGGCTACCCAGGCAATAACTCTGACACTATACGACGAGTGAGTGAGTGAGTTAATATTTATCGCCACATCGGCAATATTTCAGCCATATCGTGACGAGAACAGTTTATAATTATATTAAAGTTCAGTAAAGTTAGAAATTAAAAAACCTGTTGACGAAGAACAGTAAAACTACAAGTGTATCACAGATATCCTTTTAAAACTAGTAACTAAATCTAAAATATTGGAACTATATATGACAATACAAAATAGAAACAGGCTACAGATTGCCAACGACTGTCGGTACATCACCATACTAGGGACCATGTGGACTTACAGTACATTTGCTTCCTGCATGGACCCTAGCTTGATTTACACCATTTCCTCAGCCGTTAGCAACGTAGACAAATCTAGCCATACACTTAAAACACACAGATATTCTACGATTAAAAATAGCGGAGAGTTTCAATTTACTTTGAATGTTTGTGGACTTACGAACACTATACGACAAAGGCTATATGTCAATTCCTCACATGGAATCGATGGATGGCAATGGCTGAATACGGCGTTAAGCCATACTCAACCATTTACTTACCACTGAGTGAATAGTACACGACAGTCCCAGATCTTAAAGTGGTATTGGTTCGTTGAACATCTGATATGTATTGATTTCTTACATGTTAGTTGAACCAATGTAGACAT